GAAAACGCTTCTGAGGGACCACATGGATTAAATATGACACTCAGTCCATTTCTCTCCCCTCATCTACAAAGGTCCACTGTCAATCGGGAGAAATGTGTGAAATGGGGACAAGGAGGTAGATGTGAACAAAGGGTAAATTCAGAGTTGCATGATGGTTTTGAGAGAACCCAAGAAGAGCCTATAACTTTTATTTCTTGGATGAGTTAGTTGCTGGGAGGGAAGAGGGAACAAAAAAGCTTCTGCATTATCTTCTTCACTTTGGATCAACATGATACATTGCCCAAGACTTTTACAAAGTGACGCACACCTCCGGAAATGGAGAAAATAAATACAAGATACAGAGGCAGAAATAAAAAGTAGATTCTGAAATTCACAGGGAAAGAATAGAGGACAGGAAAAGGTAGAAATGCCTCTCTTGTGTAAGATACTATTCAAGGTACCGGGAAGATTTAAAGATGAATAAAGCACGGCCCCTGCCCTCAAGGAGCTCTCAATCCAGTGCGGGAAGTCAAAGAGAAAGGCAAAACCCCACAAGGTGCTAGCCTTGGACTGAACTCACTACCTCAAATCTGGAACCATAATAGCCATGGCCCTGCCCTCTCTGGCCTTGGTTCCCCAACCATACATCATCCTCCTCCAACCATTTCATCCAAACGATGTGGATTGTATTGGGTAGAAAGTAGGATAGGTTGCAGATTATCCAAGGAGCATTTGGTAGAGAAGGAACAAATCCAGAGGACAAATGTTCCTTATGAGAAACATTTCAACAATGTGAAAAGTGGGACCACTTCCTAAGTACCACAGTGGGGAATGAGGCAGAAAGGCAGGGAGCAGAAAAGAATGTGATTGTTCCAGACTTAAGATGAAACTGTTTCCCCTTGTGGTTGTTTGAGACCCTGAGGTTCAAATCCCATCCATATCTGCTGCCTCTCAACTTGGAGTCAGAGGAACCAGGTTCCCGGCCAACCTTTGCCACTCACTCGCTGTTCCTCATTGAGCAAGTCACTTCTCTCTGACGTTTCTCATCTGTAAAACTGTTTAATTCTAATAGTAATATATCCACTATCAGTTTTATGAGAATGAGATAAAAGTGTGCAAGTGCCTAATACAGTGCCTGACACAGGAGGAGGTCTGCAGAAATATTAGTTTAATCTCAATTGTCACACTCTATAAAGACTTTCTTCCATTTTTCACATGGGAAAACAAAAGTGCAGAGAGAAGATTGGTCATTTACAGTCAACCTATTTTATATTCACTCCCGACTACAGATCACTAGGCACTTGCTTAATCTCTTCACAGCTGCCTGCATCTCCTGGTTCCTCAGGGTGTAGATCATGGGGTTGAGCATGGGGGTGACGACCGTCTGGCTGATGGACACAGTCTTGTCCATGGGGAAGGGGGTGAAGGGCCTGAAGTAGATATAGATACAGGGAACGAAGATCATAGACACCACGATGATGTGGGCGGTGCAGGTGGAAGCTGCCTTCCTCCTCGCCTGCCCTGAGTGGGACCTCAGCATCACCAGGATGGCAGTGTAAGAGATCAGAAGGAGGAGGAACCAGATGAGGACCAGCATCCCACTGTTGGAGATCATGAGGAACTCCAGGAGGGAGGTATCTGTGCAGGCAAGTCTCAGCACCTGTGGAACATCACAGTAGAAGTTATCCAGGACGTTGGGACCACAGAAAGGCAATGGGAGCATCAGAGCCAGCTGGACAATGGAGTGGACAAAGCCCCCTCCCCAGGCAGCCAGCACCAGCCCCACACAGAGCTGAGTGTTCATGATGGTGACGTAGTGGAGGGGCCGGGAGATGGCTATGTAGCGGTCATAGGCCATCACTGAGAAAAAGAAGACAGTCCCACCTCCCAAAAGGTGGAAGAAGAAGATCTGGGCCATGCAGCCCTGGTAGGAGATGGTCTTGGTCTCATGAAGGAAATCCACCAGCATCTTTGGAGAAGTGACTGTGGAATAGCAGAGGTCTATGACAGCCAGATTTCGGAGCAGAAAATACATGGGCATGTGGAGCCGGCAGTCAAAAGTCACTGCGACCATGATGAGGAGGTTTCCCACAACAGTGGTGACATAGACAAATAGGAACACCAGAAATAGGAATTTCTGGAACTCCTGGGTCTGTGAGATTCCTAAGAGGACAAACTCTGAGACCCATGTGATGTTCTGTGGTTCCATGGGATCTTCCCCACATACCTAGAGAGAAATCATGCAAAACAAAATTATGCAAATTCAATCATTCTCCTTTGGAGGTTCAGGATGGAGTTGATCAAAGTCATTGCTGAGTACCTTTCTAAGATGGAGCTTAGGAGAGCCTTGATCAGAATAAATACATTTTCAAGACCCTCACAGACTTATCTCTCTAACCACACCCTCGTTGCATGACAGGCATTTATGGATCTTTCCCTCTTTGTCCCACCCTGTCCTTCTCCATGGATTTCACGTCTGATTCATACCTACTGTGCCCAACACGGTGCCTTGTGAACCACAGGCTCCACAAATATAGTTGAATCAATCAATAAACATGTCAGCAAGCACTTGTGACCACAAACATCATCTATCTAGGTGCATAAATCTTGAGAGGATATAGAAACTATGATTTTAGATAAACAAATAGATGCCTCCTCATGGCAGAGATTTGAGGAGATGCACATGGTTCATTGCTGAAGGAAGAAAGGAGTGTATTAGAAGAAACTGTCATGTACAAATTCAGAGGCAAATGTGAAGAAAAACAAGCAGATGATCTTGGCTGTCATGAAGTGGGATAATTAGTGCTTCTCAAACTTTTCCACGTAAATACTTCTCTAATGGCATTTGTTGCCATGGAGCCATCTGCAGGAGTAACTCAAAGCAGCCCAGGACAAATGCAAAATTTCCTTGAACTCTCATGCTTTATACTGTAAAATTTATGTGAATTTTCTATTATACACATATCTCTAGACAACCTTTGGGAGGCATTTTAAAATTTAAGCATTGTGCCTTGTAAAACTTTGATTGATAAGACCGAGGTGTTATAGAAAATATAGGAGAGGGAAGAAACATGTTTCTTTAGTTCAGTGAGTGAAAGTTTTGGAAGACATTCACTTGAAAAATAAATTGAGTTCTTGGTGTTAAAACCCATTCCCTTGGGTTATGCTTTTTCAGAACTGTTTCCTCTAGTGGTGCAGGAACATTTGCCCTGAGGACCCGCCCTGTGAAGGTCATAAAACGTAGAAAGATCTCTCCTCCCTGATTTCCACCTGATATGTGGAAGGGGCAGCAGCAATGCACTGATTTTCTTTTTACAAGAGAATTGAATGAATATATGTAAAAAAATTTCTGTCAACTTCTGTAGACAAATATAAAACAGAATTTTCTCTAAAATTATGTGTGAAGTATAATAATACTCAAAATATTGCCATATTCATTTCACGTAAAACTCACACTTATCCTCAAATATTTGTGTAACAATGGTGTTCCGGGAAGATGCTCTCTGTTTATTCTGTGGTTTCAACGACTCCCAGCATAGGACCATGCATAGGGCAACTGAGAACCCCTGCAAGCTCTTTGGTGGGAAATGATGAAACAGGATTAAAATGGGCTTATTCTAGCCGTCCAGGAAGCAGTGAGACAGGCAAGAGTGGAGCAGATGCTTCCTGGGGCATTATCAGAGCAACCCCAACAGAGGGCAATACATTTTAGTCTCTGGCTTTGTGTCCTTGCTTTACCATGTGGTGTCGAGCTTAGAGTGGGTGGGCAGCAGCTTAAATGGCATGGTTTGGCCTCTCTGAGAAAGCCCCTGACCCCTAACCCTTCATCCCCAACCCCATCTCTCCCACCTGATCATTGATTCCTAAGATGCCAACAGCGTAGCTTTATTATCTCTACTCTTATCATTTTCCCTATTAATATTACAACTACTATATACTTTTATACGCTTTTATCAGTCAGAGATGCACACTGTGCAACATCATACATAAGTCAACCTTCTAAAAGACATTTCCCCCTCTAGTTCAAAATTTTTTCAAAAATTTTCCATGGGTCTTCATTGTCCAGGGAAAGAATTCAGGGTTTTCAGATGGTTTTCAGGGGCTTCCACACAAACTGGCTCCTACCTTTCTTTCCAAACCCATCTGCCACTAGCAGTAGGAGAAGTAGTAAACATCTATTGTAGTAGTAGCAGTAATTGTTATCCTCATAGTAGTAAACATTTATTGAGTGTTTACTACGTGCTAAGCACTATGCTAAGCATTTTATAAGCATTATCCTGTTTAATTCTCATATATTATTTTCATGCTTATAAAGTATAGTAAGTACAATTAATTATCTACTACACTTCACAGATAGGTAAACTGAGGCTTAAAGAGTTTAAATAATTTGCCCCAGGTCACACAGAGAATGAGTAGCAGAGCTGGGACGCTGAACCAGGTCTGATTAGCCCCAGAATCTGCACTCCTAACTACTATGCTCTTCTTACTCACTCCCCTCTGAGAATCTTTAGCTTCAAACAAACTGATCTCCTCCTCAGTTCCTCAGGCCTCAGTGTGTTTCATCAGGCCAGTGCCCTACCTGGATTGCCTTCCCATACTGTTCACCTATCCGAATTCCACCCCTCCTTCAATTACCAAGAGTAATTATCTCTTCCATACGTTGCCATGTATTGCATTTTTTCCAGAAGAATGGCTCTATCACCTCACGTGTGTTTGTAATTTCAATGCAAGTCTGACATGTTCAGTGCTATACAATTCCTAGTGTACACATAGCCTTTCTCATAGATGGTTCCCAAAAGAATGCTTGATTGCTTGATAGCAGATGGAGTGCTAGGAGGGGCCAGACCACCGTGAGAGGTGAGAAGAGACAGAGTAGCCACTGAATGAAGCAGTTCAGTTTAAGGGACCTTGAAGGGAATCCAAGAATCCTAATTCCCAGCATCACCAGATTTACAAACCTAGAAGCATCATCTTAGCATGGCCAGAATTCTTTCCACAAACTCATAAGAATCTTTGGAAATGATTCTTCCACCTACATGCATAGAAAATAGATTTAGAGGGATTCTAGATGGGAAAGAAAATAAAGAGACGTAAGGGAGGGGCATGTATGTATGAGGTAAGGGAAGGATGCCAGACCCCTTTCTGTTGTTACTCAATCTTATCTCCCATCTGTCTTGCTCTTAGGAAATCAGTCCACACAGGACTAAGAGAGAGAAGAGGAGGAGGAATAAGTGGTTCCAAAAGTGGGGGTGAATCTAGGCTGTGGTCATCTCAGGAGCATTAACAGGTTTCATTAAACACAAGATTTAAGAGAAGGGAGGATAAGACGGAGGTGTAGCAATAAAGAAGGAATGAAAATCTGAAGTGAGTGGGAGAGGCAGCAGGCAGGAGAAGGAGGAAGGTGGAGGAATAAAAGAGCATTGAAAGGGAAACATTAGGAGGTGGGAAGTGTGAGAGACAGGCCTGGTTTGTTTTCTCCCAGGGGTGGGAAGAAGCTGTAGCATGTGTGTGGGAGGTGGGGGAGAAACCAGTTGCGTCTGTATTCTGTCCTCCTTCCCACCCTCTGTCCTAAATTCCACCCAACACATACGCCAGTACAGACAAAAGACTTAGTTCCAGATAGAATCCACTGTTCCCCAAATCCCATTCCCTGGCATTCTTGCCCAATGACTGACTCTCCCATACCTTCACTCCACTCCATGCTTTTCTCACAAGGCTTCGGCAGGAGCCTTCTCAGTTCTAACTTGTCCATGGGAAGGACACTGAGGCCATCACCCACCTCCAGCTCAAAGTGGCCAAGGGGACTTAGAGCCTCTCATCTTCCAGGCCACTCTTCTCCTGCAGCTCCATTCTTCTCCTGGCCTCTCTCAGACCAAGAACACATGGAGGATTGGCCTTAAGGGAAGGGACATTCCTTGAGGGAAAAACTGAGGCTTAATTCGTGAAATGAAGCTGGGTTCAGGCTGCTGAGGGCAAGAGCAATGGGAGTTATTAAAAGGTATGTCAGCTGTTGCATCAGATGCACATTATAATTGAGAAACGTCTGGGGGCCAAATACTTCAAGGGCACTGATCATAGGACCAAGATAAAGAAGGATAAGAGCCCTTAAGGGAAATGAATTCCCAAGGAGGTTTACAAGAGCCAGATCCACTGAGGTCAGCACCATGGGCAGTGCAAGGTCTCCACCCTCTCCTACCACGACTGTGGTTGCAAAAGTGAGCTATGTCCCAGGACACCGTCCAGGTCATGCCCTCTATAGAGTAAACTCTGAAGCTTTTTTCACAGGTACAGTTGTTAAGGTATCTCTCACCCCAACCTCTTATCTGTTCTCCTTAAAGCCAGAGTGACCTTCTCAGTGTAAATCGGCTAAGTTTACCCTCCAGATATAATTCACATACCATAAAATTCACCATTTTAAAGTGCACAGTTCAGTGGGTTTTAGTATATTCACAAACTTGTGTAACCATCACCACTACCTAACTCTAGAACATTTTCATCATTTCTTTAGCAGTCACTACTCATTCTGTTCTCTCCCTAGTCCCTGGCAACCACTAATCTACTTTTTGATTTTTTTTTTTTTTTTTT